ATCTGGAAAGAACATTGCACAACAAGGAGCTGAACTTTTGTCGTCTTCCCCCCTTTTCCCCAGCTGTCCCCTGATGGCTGGAAAACACTTTATTTTCTTTAAGGGCTTTAGTACTGTGACAGGAGTTAATCAGCTGTGAAAGCTTCTGGGCTGGATTTTTCTTTATTCTTCCATTATTGATTTAGTATCTTGGTGAAACTCTTAATTCTGGTGATACAAAGAAAACGTGCTATGTCTTTTCAGAACACGGTTTTATATTCTGTCTTCCTTCCGGAGCTGTTTGTCTTCTCTTTTTGAACACGTATCCAGCGACATTCCCCCCCCCAAGCCTGGGCTAAAAGGCTTTAAGAGGCAAGATCTGCAAACCTGACCTAGTTCACCTGACTGTCCCAGAGTTCAAGCACAGGCACGGCCAGGAAAGTTGGGCCACATTGTGCCTGTGTCTCCAGGCAACCGTCATGTTAATCACAAGCATCCAACTGTGGTTGATTATATCTGGTACTTGAAGCAGAAAAGGAACATAAAATAGTTACTCTGAGGAGCAGGCTTACAAAGTTTTGTTTGGCTGCCTGGCTTCAGTGAGTAATAGTTTGATAAGGGAATATTCTGGTTTTTGTTGACATAGATCACCATGATAAAGACTGAGCCAATAGATGGGGTTTTTTTGCATGCCTGCACTGGTAAATATTCATGACAATTTTGTAAATGCAGCTGGCGACATCTTATGGTTTGGGAGTCTTCCTCTTTATTTTATGAGTTTGTCTGTATAGTTTCTTTTTTTATTATTTTTTTTTTTGCTAGCCATCAGAACCTGCTGAGCTATTTTGCCTGCTGCTCAGTAGGCTGCTTTCTGGCTGGCTTAGGCATATACTTAGTTACAGTTTCTATGTGTGTGAATACTTTGGTTGTTTGATGTCAGTCAACAAAATCCTTCTATTTTTCCTGCTTCACACTCTATTCACCTCACAAACACATTTATTTTGAATCACAGGCATCAAGATTGGCAAGTTTTGTATCCTTAGCTCCCCTCCTTCATGTTTTGAGACCAAGTCACGAGTCCAAGTCTGAGGTAATTTCCCTTGGTTTGCCATAGGTCTCTAAGCAGGCTCACGTGCTGTTGGTCCTAGTGGTAAGTTAGCCTTCGTGCAGGAAGGCATATGTTGGTGAGCACTTTGGTGTAGTGTGATTCACACCTGGGAAGAGAATTCTCATCTTGTGCAGTCAGGAAAATTGTCATCACATCTGTTATTAGGCAACCTAAATAATGTATTGTTTCCTGAGTGACAAAACCCCAGTGACCTCAGGTAAAGGATTTAAGTAATCCACATTCAAGTGGACTCCTTAAATATTTCAAAACTTCAATAGTGAAAAGAAAATGAAGATGTCATTGGCTATTCTCTTTTGTTTGTCATCTAGATGAAAAAGGATTTTGACCTGAAATGTCACATACCTTGCTATCAAGTAGATTCTTTAAGCATTGCATTGCTTTATCCTTCCATAGTGTGTAATGACAGAGCTTTTCCAGCTGTACAACTCATGGAAATCAGTGTGATGCTGCCCTTGTGTTTTAATCAAGATGAACTTGAAAGGTGAACATTGTAAGTGATAGAAATTATTTATAATTTGGTAATAAAAGTTTATGTCGAACACTCAGAATTTCATACATCTGCTATTTGCTGGCCTTGAGATATAGAACAATTGCAATTGCCTTTACATTTGGCCTTAGATGGAAGGTCATAAATTATGATGATAGAGTTCATATTCGTTCCCAGCTCACAAAATTTCCATATTAACATCTTCACCTCAAACATAAATGGTTACAAAGAAAAGGGCTGTGGGGGCCTTTGTCAACTGAACTTAATGATGGAAGTCAGCGGATCGAGTACTGTTGCCAACGTTCAAACATAAAGCATCACAGAATCCTTGTTCAGAGGACATAATTAAAACTTTGCAGTTAACTTTAAAAATGAAATGCGATTCAAAAGTCTCTTTTTCTCTCTCTTTAATGCAGCAGAAGCCACTTTAAAGTTAGGAAGGTTTTTCTCTCCCAGCTACTTGCAATGAAAACATTTCCATAGAGCAAGGTGGCTGTTTAACACATCACGTGTCAAAAGGAGTGTCCAGTTTTTCTGTGCCTTGTGAAGTGCACGCCACTTATGTAAGTTTAAATGCAGAAGAACAACAATCTAGATGACAAAAGAATGTCTGTGGAAGACTTTGAATTCAGTCTAAATAATCCCTGTTAGTGCTGTTATTGCAGGGTTTCCTGAGGGTCCTGAAGAAAACACCATACTACGTTTCTGGAGTTGGAGTAGTGGAGGATGAGGTTCTGTTCCCACTGAAGTCAACTGAAGTTTTGTTAGTTACTTCTCAGTGCTTAGGATGCCTCTGTAACTTACTGAAAATCTGCCTGAAATCTCAGATCCATCTCTGTGAGCTGGTACCACAATCTAACTGATAGTTAGGCTAATAGTTGTCACAGCCTAGTTTTAGAAACTTCTCAGTGATCGATCCCAGCTGCTGAACTATCAGCCCACTGCCCTGATCCAAACCCCCTCCAGTGGATTCAGGATAGGACTCCTAATCTGCAGATCCTTTCCACCCACTTAGAATCAAGAAAGTACCATATGTGCTTTCTCCATAGCTATCCCACAGGATTCCCAAGGGATAACCTCATGACAGGCTTCTGCAACCTCAGTGTCTTGTCTGCTTTTCAGTGCTGCAATACCTGTGCTGACGAGCAGGGATTAGCCTGCCCCTCCTTGCTGAGGACCCCAGGCTGTTGCCTGACAGCAGGAGGGTGTGACTTGCTGAGGGCTCTCACTGTGCGTTGCCGGAGGCTGTGCTGGGTGCAGAGAACAGATTTGCACTTTGGCACAGGAGTGCTCAAGCTGACCTCACAACTCGAAGTTGGCATAACCTCTGTGCTCTCTGTCCCTTTCTTTTTCCTTCTGGAGCTGTTCTTTCATTACCATTTGTGCTTCTTAGAAGTCTTCCTGATGCCCTGAGCATAAGGAGCATGACACTAAGGAATTGAAGGGTGCGGGAAGAAGCAACAGAAAGGAAGTATTAGGAAGTATTAGGACCTCCTTCCTTTTCCTCCTCAGCAGACTTCCTGGCAAAGAGGGAGCTGTCAGCAGGTCTTCAGGGAGCTGGGGAGAATAATGTGAGAACTAAGACTGAGGCTTTCTCTCTCTCTCCTAGACTTGCAGGTCTGTAAAAAAGAAAGGGACAATCTCAGAAGCTTTCAGAGTTCAATTTTAACTCCCTCTGAGTTCCTGGGAAGTCTCTCCCCAACGGGCAAGCTTTCTCATGAGCCTTAAGGGGTTTGGCATCTTCCTGTGCATGCATTTGTATGGGACAGTTCAAGCCTTTCTGCTTTTGAGTAATCATCTGTCTGTGCATATACAGTGAAAGATCAAAGATTATTTTTTTTTCCCCTTAGACAAAGGTTTAGTTACCAAACATTATTTCCCATGCTATGCA